CTGGGGTTTACGGGTGGTTGTATGGGGTAAAAATGGGGTTTTCCCATTTTGACCCTAAAAACAAAAAAATTTGCAATTTCTTTCTAAACCGTTTTGTAGAGCTTAAAAAAGAAATAATTTTGTAGCCTATATTGAAGCGCTGTTGTATGCCTAATGGTTACTGAGAAAATTTAAAAAAAGCGTAAATTAAAAATTTCCATGTTATTCTTATGGAGAAAATGAAAACTGTTGTAGTTCACTTGTTTATGGATATATGTTGTTAAAATTTAGCAAATTTATTTATTTCATCCTATACTATTGACGTATGGTCAACAAACACTTTTTATCTTTCCCGTAGCAGCAAACCTAAGCATTTGTTAAATCTAATCTATATATTAATTTGAAACGGTTTTTCTTTGTGACAGCTAATTTGAGAGAACGGCTGGGCGTTGAAACTTTGTGGTCTCTAAAGAAAGGTCTTGGTCTGTAGATGAGCCATCTAAAGAGAAACGTGGTAAATTCCCTTGGGACTCTGCCCCAGTGGCCTTTAAATTCCCATCCCATGTTATTCTTATGGAGGAAAAATGGGGTTTTCTCACAGCTAATTTCAGAGAACGGCTGGGCATAGAATCTTGGTAGGGGTCTCTAAAGAAAGGTCTTGGTCTGTAGATGAGCCATCAAAATATAAACGAGGTAAATTCTCTTGGGGGTCTGCCCTAGAGGCCTTTAAAGTCCCCTCAGCAGATTTGTTTATAATATGACCATATGTATAATTTCACACTACTTTTAATGAACCAGCTGTTAATTTTAAAATTGTATTTCAAAGGTCAAGTGCTATGAGCATTTACTGAAACTGTCAAAATTAAATGTTTACATTCAGTATTATTTATGATTTTTAAATTGATTCTTCACTGCATCGCAAGCAACCTTTTTAGAGTTTGAACAAAATGATGGATTTATGAAATGTTTTAAATTTTTTGTTCATAAATCTATGCTTAAGCATTAAGCACTTAAAAAATTTATATTATAAAATCAGTTGGATTTATCAATAATTTCAAAGGAACAGATTTAACTATTCCTTATTGGGTTAGCTTATATTTGTTGTAGGGGTTTGCACTTGCTTTTTTGGTCTACTTTCAATAATCATATGTAGATGAGCACGTTGAGGATGTGAGCTTTATTCCAAGTTTTGGGATAGATTATGCATGGAGTAGGTTTAATCTATGGTTTGGTGCAGTAGGTGAATTAATGGCAGTTCATGTATTAAAAAGGGGGGAAGGGTTTTTACTTTGATGTACATGTATCTAGCTAGGTCGAACAATGCATATAATGCATATAAACAGTGCCTTTACATCTCATCTCATTTGCATAATTTGTTGCCAACCAAGCCCGACTAGGTTATGGATGTGGTTCAGCAAATGTTTAAGATTTGTGGTCAAATTCACTACAATTATGGTCCATCCCGTCCTTAAAATGCACAACTTTATGTGATTGATACGGCCAAGGCAAAACTACGCCAGAAGTTAATCAATTAGCAAATAAGTACAGGATGATTAAATACATTGGTCGATGTGGCAGGAGAAGGAATTAAAATTGCTTGGATCGAAGTAAATATATCCTTGGCTGGTGATAATCAAGTCTTGTCAATATCCTTATCTATATATATAAAGCTCAAATACCACTGACTCATTCATCCTACTAATATTATAAATGAGAAAGTTTGGATGTATGGATGTATGGATGTATGGATGTATGGATGTATGTTTGTGACAAGTAAACGCGAAAAATACTGGTCGGATCGGGCTGAAATTTGGTGTGATGATAGTTCACATTCCCGATTAACATATAGACGCATTCTAATCTCAAAAGTCCTTTCGGGCTCCGCCCCAGTGGCTCTGGAGTGTCCCATGTTAACCTTATGAGTAATCATATTTAAAAGGAATAAAAGAATTTTGTCAGCTGTTTCAACTACACAAGATGGTTGGTTCTATGACATTAAATAGCATTAAAAAGTTATAAGGTTTCCCAACAGGGTGCAGTACTATTAACTTTTTTGCATTTCGTGTCCTCTTCCCGTTGCAAAGCACGGGTACAACAGCTAGTCCTACTAATATTATAAATGAGAAAGTTTGGATGTATGGATGTATGGATGTATGGATGTATGGATGTATGTTTGTGACAAGTAAACGCGAAAAATACTGGTCGGATCGGGCTGAAATTTGGTGTGATGATAGTTCACATTCCCGATTAACATATAGACGCATTCTAATCTCAAAAGTCCTTTCGGGCTCCGCCCCAGTGGCTCTGGAGTGTCCCATGTTAACCTTATGAGTAATCATATTTAAAAGGAATAAAAGAATTTTGTCAGCTGTTTCAACTACACAAGATGGTTGGTTCTATGACATTAAATAGCATTAAAAAGTTATAAGGTTTCCCAACAGGGTGCAGTACTATTAACTTTTTTGCATTTCGTGTCCTCTTCCCGTTGCAAAGCACGGGTACAACAGCTAGTAATTCATAATACGTGAAGGTGATTTCTACGAAACACCACTCCTCTGTTAATAATGGACGGATTTTTAGAAACGATGTGTCAAAATTAAGTATTTTTTGTGGAGACTCCCCCTTTCACCAATTGCTGTAATAAAATTCCTCGGGCTTTGCCCCACAGGCCGTCAAAATCCCAATGTATTTCTTTGAAGAACAGATTTTGTTTACTTAAACAGACGAATAATTTGTATTAATTACAGCTGTTCATAGTAAACACATTATACACACATACACACACACACGTTCGTTTTCAGAGTGAGTTCGTTTTCAGTTTTGATAGCTGGAGTGGAGTGATTGATTGCATTATCTTTGAGTTGACTCTTTTAAGTCATTTTAAATTATTACTGTTATTCGTTTTGAAATAACGGCTGTAATACTTTGCAATTGCTCGAATTCGAGCAACCGGCGCACTTGTCATAAATAATGACTGTTATTCTGTTTAAAATAACGCATGTAATACTTAGCAATTGCTCGAATTCGAGCAACAGGTACACTAGTTATATACATTAGTGGTTGTCCGCCGGAATAAATCAATAGGAAAATTATTCAAATAAAACCCTTTATTGCCAGCTATATACTTCCCGATTTTCCACTTAATTAGATGGCGCAGAACATGTTATTAGCAATTAATTATTGAACTATTTTAATCAGTATTCATTGCTGTTATTTTCTGAGGAACTTGGCAAATAAAGAGCTGTATGATCATAACATTGGAAAATCACGGTTACACACTAAAGTTGCCTAATAGCGTCAGAAGAGCGAGGGCTCTTTACGCATATCGGCCAAATTTGTTCCAGCCTGGCGGGCAAACATGTCAAAGCAAGTAGTGTTACGCACTGGTTTAAATTCAAAATGTGTAGCCTATGTAATAAAAAAGTGGAATAACGAAATTTGGAAATATTCCTACTTAGGAAAATGCTATAACGAGGTGTATACTTTTAAAAATAGTTCAAGAACTCGAGTTAAGGATTTAATGTAGTCCAGCCTACTCAGTAGTAGTAGTAAAGAGTAGATGAGATAGTAGTAAAGTAGCGGAAAGTTTATGCCTAAACTGTACTGTTCGTTTGTTAATTGAAATGTTGGCTGGGTTCTGAGTGAATAAAGTGCTCGCTTGGTAGTCAAAAGGTCACTGGTTCAAACCTGAGAAGTGAGCAGCCTTTTGATACTAGACCTAGATTTCTTTTTTAATAAATTATAGCTTATAAACCTCCAGTCAAAACTAGTCTCTAGGTCTGCAAGAGAGGAACGTTTATGTATGTTGACAATCATCTGAAATGTGTGTGTCAAAGGTTAAAGGCAGTGGAATTTGGAGGGTAAGAACCTGATAAGCATTAACATTCAGTTTATAAAATATTTTAATATGCAAACAGTCTAGTTTGAAAATACAATTAAAATTCCATTTTTCATCCACTCTAAAATAACCATCAGGGCAATCCATTGGTTGTGGCATGTTTTATATTGTAACAGCAATAAATAAATGGCATCAACATGTCAGAAGAGCTCCTTGCACTGGACGAAGTTCCTTTAAACACTCTCGAATGGATTGAAAGTTATCAATCAGTAATCAGTGATTTCGAGGTTATGTTGAAGCTGGAGGGAGAGGTTGGTTATTTTCATCTAAAGCATGTCAGAGCCAGTCGCTTTAGCAGCTCCTACTTCAAGAAAACAACTGATCGGAGAATTAACTATTTGTGAGTAAAGAGAATCTATTCATAACTAGAGGGGTACCTACTTTCATTCATCTAAATTATTAGGAATGGTATTTTCTCCCAACGTTTTCCGCTTGTATATAAACAACATAATTTATTATTTTCCAAAAATGAACAATAAATTTTCGACTTTCACACTTGAAAACGTGTTTGACGTTTCACACCGCGTATAAAGTATACACTGATGTGGGATTAGTATAAAGCTGTATTATTTGAGGACGAGCCATCTAAAAATAAACTATCGGTTACAATAGGCGAGAGAAATAAGCGGACGCCCGGCGAGGCGCTTCTCTCCTCTTGTGTTTTTACACCTCCCAAAATTATTGTGTATGTGTGTGTGTTTGTCAATTGTGGTTAGGGAGCCCGTGCTTTACAAACAACGAGATTTGGGATCAAGCAATGCCAGATGATGAAGTTGAAGTAGGCTAGACCTAGTTTAACGATATAAGAGCTTGTACTAGTGATTTTTTCAGCTATCGTTGGTTTGAATTTATGCTGTTAATATTTATTATTTCAGTAATTAAAAATACGTAAGAATTCGTAGGTAATGAACAATATGATTTTTTACTCGTGGTAGGACTTTTATGAAAACCGACTCACATACTACAGGATTCTAACATTGTTTACTAGATATCTTCGACATATTGATGCCACATAACCTAATCGTAATCGGACCAGCTGAGCCCAAATCCAAATCGGGCGAAGGGACATGTCGATTATTTATCCACAATGGACTCGTCCCGCGTATTTTTAGAGCTAAGTTACCTGGGCCATGTGTATACCCCGGAGACCTCGAAGCCGTAGTGCCATGAGCCGCTGTACGCGCCTTGACCCTTGGGGCCCGTGCACACCCCGTGGCCGTGTGCCTTGCCGTCCTCCCAGCCGCCGCAGTAGGTGCCCCCGTCGTCGAAGTCGAACCTACCCCCGTTGACCTGGGTGGCGGCGGCCGCGGTCGCCGTGCCCGTCGCCCCGGTAGACGCCGGGCTCTGGGACGCTGCTGAGGCCCCCGGGTTCATCACATCACTCGCGCACTACCACTGGAAGTATCAGCTGACCATTCCTCACTATCGCCAACATCCGTCTGCGGCCATCCCCACCGATGTTGGCTGCTGGTCAACACATTCCTAGCTCCGGCTTGCTGACTATTTCTGATGCTAGTTCGCCTCGACGCCGCTACGTCGCCGCCGCAGCACTGTGCGGGGCCACCCTCCGCCCACCACCCTCTCCGCATCGATATCCCCTCCACAGCAATCAAACTTGTACTTCGATAGGATAAATAATTCCTCATTGTGTATTGGCCTCTATAGTATCATCTTGACTCTAACTTTTTACAAACAATCTGCTCTTCATCCCCTCACAACAACAATACAAGTAAAACAATATTGTCAACACAACAATAACAATATTGTCTCAATACCATTCTCCAAGTTTGTTTAGGCTTTAAACTATTTATTGTCACATGTGTTTTGTGTTATCTTCAAAATAATACAGGGTGATACCAAATTTAATGAAACTGACAAACTGTGTATTAAATTACTGCAAATACAAACTGTCTATTTCATTTGTAATCACCCTGCACATCAGCTAAACATCGATGATATTAAAATTGTTTATCAGCGTTTACTTAACTACGATGGGAGTCTTAACTTTACATGGAAAACTAAGCAATTTTTAACAACAGTATATTACGTTCTGTACTCTACATTAAAACAATAAAGTAAATTTGAATACAATTTTAATTTAATCAGTAACATTTCGACAAGTGCATTTGGTACAAACAATCAAGAATTCTGAGACAATTTGGATAAAAAACTATTTGGAATTAATATTTGATTTATTTTACTTGGCAATAAACAAGAAGGTTTATTGTCAGGAAATTAAGACGATGTTCTAATACTTTGCATATGTCGACCCTACTTATAACCCTGTACTAAGCCAAAATACAATTAATGCAACTATTCCACCAAGTCTACAAAAATTTTATCAGCCCCTTGGTTTCAAAACTTCCTATTAGTTAGATCCCGCATTTCTACATCAACGCTTAAGCAATCGTTCTATCGTAGGTTTATCAAACTTGTTGCTTCCTATTTAAGAAAATTATAACTATTTTCCACACTAAAAATGCAACCTAAATTACTTGTATTGAATTCCAAGTTAAACATTATATTAAAAAGATGTTGTTTGATTGTGACCAATAATTACATTACTTCTGAATTAAGTTGATAAAAGTCTATTTAATAAGGGAAATCAGTACTATTGAACTTAACTTATTGTTACATTAAATCGTAAAAATCAATTTACATTACATTTTGTATTCTCTTTATTGCATTTTGTCTTTATGGGTTTATGAATCATTTAACATTCCTTGGTCTAAATAAAATATTTCCGGACGTTCTTAAACAAACTGGTTTTACCTAAAATGGCTTAGGTTCACGTGGCTCAGAGATAGTTCACAGAAATATCATTTTGCTATTGCATTTTATTATTGCATTGAAAGGATTTATTCTGAGGTAAACAAAAGAAATAATTAATATTCTAATATTCTAATCACTAGCAGGAACGACCAACGATGAAAAGTTTGAAATCTAAAAACTGAAATGAAATTTCTGATACAAATATACAAACCCAGTAATTCCCTCTGAGTTTCTGTAACCTATACATATGCAAGACACAGGATTATTACACATTTATTTGACAGTTTATAGGGTATAGTTACCATTTTTAAAATAGTTATTATCGATATCAGTTCAAGTTATATTTGATTTGACCACAGTATATGGTTTACCATACAATACCTGTTTATGAAACTCTTAAGTAATACATCAAATATATTTCAATTTCTTTTACTTGACAGTAGTAGGTGACAACACTAGGTCAACCTTTGGATCAGGGGCGACCAACCGATTATATAACAATCGAGCGCAGCGAAGAATGAAGGAATGAAGCATAAATCTTTATGCAATTTGATGTTGTGGTTTCTCCAACGCCAACGGCTCGTTTTGTTGTTTACCATGAAACTGTCCAAAACCTAGTTTGGTCCCCATCGAACGTCAAACATTTAGAGAGCATAATTTAATTTCGGTACCTGACAAATTACCGTATGTTACACTGGGTACAAAATAAATTGTTTCTGATGTAGATCGAATCAGCAATATCCCAATCTGAAGATTAACCTAACACAATTATTTATTTTGACCATTATCGTCTACCAATAACAAAATTTTCATTGGATTAGTTTAAATTTTGTACGATACCAATACACCCAGTAGGGAGCCTATTTTAAAGTGAATATGAGTGAAGGACGAGGATGAGATATTTACCTTTCTGTATTTCTTCGTTCTTTAGTGGGCCGTTTACAAAAATCCTAAACTATTGTCAATTGTAGTCGTAGGTTAGAAATTGAAGTTGCTTCTGAAATGTATTGTTAGTTAACTTTAAAACTTAATTTATTTTAAAATACACCATATGCATCAAACTCCCTCCCACATTGATGACCTTGACTGCTGTATTTTGCATGCATTTACCGTTGACCTAGCCTCCCCCACGTTACATAAGTATGGAGGGTGCTGTGGTCGGATGAAACAGATCTGGTGGAATGTCGACCGGAGTTATGTAATGTCCACTTCGCCAACCAGTGTCCACAAGGGCTTCTGTCGACCAACAGCCTTCAGTCAGCATGCTCTTCGCGGTAAGCACCTTGCTATCACCCTTTATACATACTGTTAGCTTTGATTTTGAGATTTAGTAGACATTTCAGTTACAGGAATAGGATGTATTTTTTAATGCTTAAAGGACATTGTCCTGGTTTGGTTTGGTCTAAAAAATTGTCTTCGACAAATTCGCGAGAGTAATTTATATCAGTACACTTAGTTAAAGGTTTATTTTTGTCGTTAAATTGGCTAAGGTTGACTTTCGGATACAAGTACACATCACAATATAAATAGAAAACTGTAGCAACTTACTATTAAAAATAACTTATGTCTAGTTAAATGAGCACTTACGAATGTGTGCTACATTTAAGATTTTGTTCTCTATTAGTTTATGTTTCTGTGAAACTGTGTCGGTTGGTGTAACAAGATGTTGTAGTTAACAAAAAGTGTGTTTGGAAACTTGGAAATTTGTGTGGGCATTTTTTAGCATTGTTACTTACTGTATCTTGAGCAACTAGAATAATTTATTTATTTTTATATCCGCAACCAGGCAATATTATTGACGTTTGCACGACCGCAATCATTACATGTAGCCGCGATTGCACAAAAAATATCATTCGCGATGTAGACAATGTCGACATAGACGTTCGCGGGATGTCGAATCCAAGGAAACGAAGTATCGGGAATCAATTATTCCTCTACCACTACTAGCTTACTACTGTTCCAGTAGTTTGTAGGTACAGATGAGAGAGCAAGAGTCCGACCATCCGTAATTATCCAAAAACAGCTCTGATATATATATATATATATATATATACAAAAATTGTGTTAATATATTTTTTTATAATGGCAGTAATATTTTTCCCTACAGTTACCAGACAAAGTGGGCTTCCTTGCACTGATTATAGTACGCCAAGCAGCTAATTGATGCATTTACTTACTTTTGCCACCAACCAATCAACACAAAACAGTTTGAGTTTACTATTATCAGGCACGTAATGTACGCTTGAAAATAGCAGTTATATAGCAGCACTTAAGACACTACGACTACGATCAGCTGATGCAGTGTTTCTCATTTCGTTCAACCACAGCCACCTCTAATACAGTATTAGAGGTGGCTATGGTCATTGACTATATAGTCAATGCTATGGTTCAACGCTTGGACTCAACCTAACCTAAAAACGTGTTGTAGTTGTGCAGTGTTTGGGAGACTAATTATATATATGCTTCATGTTTATGGTAACTGTAGGAAAAATATAATGGGTAACACGAGCGCAAATTGCCTTTGTTGCACTCGAGAAACTTTCCACACTAGCCTGAGGCTCGTGCGTAAACATTTCTCTTATGTGCAGCAAAGTGCCCCTTTGCTCACTAGTTTCACAAATAATTATTGTCTGTACGTTGCATATAATCGTGAAGTCAGTGGTTATTCTACATTTCATAACCTAAGAAAGCCGGAAAAAAGTTTTGTCTCTTCTTCTCTATTTATGACATGTCTGTCTTTTACACAGGAAATGGTAATTTTTACGCTTCCCGAAATGCTAAACCGATTGATATTTTCCTCTGCATCCACTAAATGTTTGAAAATATGTTTTGCTTTTTAAACCCCTAAATTAAACTAAAATATTAAACGTCCATAAGCCAATTCAGCGCGAAATTTGACACCTTCTCTACTCATCATGTACATTTTGCCACCTAGGTGCAGGTTTTAAACCCAAATAATATGAGTGAAGGATGAGTGTATGGAGTGATTTGTGTAGCTTTTTTACTGTCTAGATCAGCTGTTTCATCAGTCAGGAATCAGGATCTTATTTAAAGTTTAATGATAAAGGACAGCTGGGTCCAGTTTCGAACTAAGCAATCAAAATAAGCTACTTTTCTCAGGATTGAACCGGTGGCGGTGGTGACATTTTGTTTGATTGTAGGCAAGTTTTTTAATCACTCAGCTCAAAATTGTTTTGTTTTTTTAAGCTTTACACAATGGCTGTAATGAAAACTGGGCATTTCCATGGTTAACAATTTGAGAAAAAAATTGTATAAAACTTCAAAATGTTAAATTTCATAAAACCCCGTTTTCATGACCTTGCTGGTTTGCGAACTCAATTAAGTTTATCCAGCTCGACACATTCATGCCAACAATGACATAAAAACCAGCCCAAAATTATTAAGTTATCATGTTCACGGACACATAGATATATGTATATAAAAATGTAAACGGATAGTGCATTTTGCCTCTGGGAACATCAACATAAAAGTGTAAATCATGGTCTCGGATATGGGTATTTCCGTATTACCAACGGTAATAGCTTCTTCCCAATAAAAAAATTGCTTAAACTTTATTTTAGATCAAGTTCAAGGACCATAAGAGATCTGCAGCCCAACATCCAGAAAAAAATAATTTTGCTGGTGAAGAGTAACGACATAGGTATACCAAATATGGGTTTACTCAGGGTAGCCATAGAGTTGGGGATGTCAGCTGTTTTATCTCATCTCTAAAACTATTCAATATGTATAAAGTTTAACAAATCTACTCAACTGGATTTAAAGTCTCTTTGGTCTCTAGAGCAGCAGCGTGGTCGCCAAGTCGTTCCGTCAAGTCTCAGAGTTCCTGAAGCTACGGTCTCGTCCGCTACCCTGCTACACGCTAGAGGAGGTGGGCTCTCACGATAACTACCACGACTGCTGGATCATACTGTTCGACAAGATATACAACGTCACCGACTTTATTCATTTGGTAAGCAAATTTCACTTGGTCCAATCAAGTTATGCTATTAAAGGCCCTTTTCATATTAGCAACTATTAAGCAAGTGTACACTGTGCTACTTTATGAGCTGCTTGTCAAAAAGCCCGCTTGTAGATTAGATACTCCCCGCATAATTGATCACTAAGAGTATAGGTTTTTTTAAGCTACAAATACGTTTATCTGACAATGTCTTAATTATTCAACTCATCCTGGCTACTACGTGACAATGAAGAGTTATTTATTCTTCTTTTCCTTTCCCAGCACCCAGGAGGAGAATCGATTATTCTGGAGCATGCTGGACGAGACGCGACATTCACCTTCTTGTCCGCTGGCCATTCCGAGCACATGATGGCTGTGCTAAGTAACTACCTAGTGGGCAAGCTACCAAGCTGCGAGCACATCTTCGAAACTGAAGAAAGCACCACTGAATAGATAGAACATGCCACGAGCTAAACCAATTGTGATTACCGCTTTGTGCAGTAAATAATACTTACAAGCAATAAAGCGTTAGTATATAAGTAAAATGTTCCTTCCAGCTCAAGAGGATGTATAAAACTAAATATTCAGTGCACTTGAGTTGTTTTAATTCCTTTTAAACCATTAGGTGTTGGTAAAATAGTTAGTTTTTCCATTATCATAATCAATAAGATGGGTCAGCTGGGTGTATTTTAACCCAATGAATAAAGGATATGGTTGTAGCATGAAGGGAGATGCCCTGAGTTGCTTTGTTAATGTCTCGTTTACATAAGATTTTGCATCACATGTTCAAACAAAAGTTTAGAGCAATCTGAATTAGTGATGTGCGTATCGATACGTATCGATACAGATATCGATACAAGGACCGCAAAATATCGATATTTTGTATCGATAAGTGGGAGTGTATCGATATGCCCGTATCGATACACCTATAGCCAATATCGTATCGAATATCGTATTGTTTATTCATTAATATAAATCTTATTTTTATGGTAAGAAATTTGTCTTCCCATCTTCCTCCCCCCAAAAGAAGTATTGGAAATTTGATATTTTACCCTAGTATCTTAAAAAACACTGATAAAACATGTATTTTCAGCTATGTTTTGCAAATAACCTCAAAACTAGGGCCACCATTAATGGAAGTGGGGACCCTCATTGTCCATATTATACTATTTAATGTGTAAGTGGCATACCCACCATCATTATTAGTACTTTTTGGTTCAATTAATTATCCCTGTGTAAAAACTAGGAAAACAATAACAAAATGTTTTCCAATTTGAGGGTTTACTGGTTTTTGGAGGTTATGTATGTATGTTTGATACAAATAAAAAGACACAGGAAGGTCTTATAATATAATAAGTTATTAATAACCTATTATGACCCTCTTTACAAGCTTGTAAGTAACATAGTATTTGTCTATGCAGCTTGTATATTTGAGATATTTAATTTTTTTATATAAATTATAAATAAACAATACGGTACGATATTTTATTTGATACAGATAAAAATCGATACATGAGGATACGATACGATACACGTATCGATACACCACGTTCCGATACGTATCGATACATTGACCCGTATCGCCCATCACTAATCTGAATACTAATAGTTTTTGGTTGAGAAAATATTGATGTTTACAACCAAATCAAGCATATTTTTTACACCAACTTTTTTCAAGCGAGTTTAAACTGGAGTTCACTGAAATCTTTTTGGATGATATTGTTGTCAACAAAAGAAGCTGTCAAACAGCTGTTTGTTGGCCAGGACCTGATCAAGGGCAGTTGGCCCCAAACAAGTTGGTTTCAAACCATCATCTACCGAGCCAAGAGTTACTGACTTCATGTTAAAGAAAAGTGTCATATCAACTGATTTTGTTTACTTTATTCTGAAATGGAGACCATTTGAAATTGGTTTTGGAGCCAAGTATGAATGGAGATGAGTGTCGGAATCCTGTAGTCGTGTTAGTGACTAAGGCCGACATGTTCCTCAGACTCAGCTGTTAATAGCCCATACAGCCAATGGCAACTAAGGGATCTACAGTTTATAGCGAAATCCGAACCACATTTTTGCCTTGTAATTAACGAATTGGTTTAATTATCAGGATAGAACTGCGGACAGTTTTAGTATTTACTAGTGCGGACGTTAATCCACACCAGGAAGTATTGAATCCACAGCACATGCATATAAATATCCACAATTCATAGTCGCAGTTTTGTGTTGGTATGTATGTACTTTTGAAAACTCATTGATTATATGACAAATTGAAAAATAAAGTTGCAGGTTCATGGTTCATTGTAGATCTTCAGGTTAAAATGTAAATGTTCTTTAAATATCATTTATAGTCCAAATTTTCAGAATTTTAAAATACATTGACACACAAATGAGAAAAGACTGTAATTGGACGACAATTCACTAGATAAGGTATAAGATACGTCCTGTGGAAGGTAAATCATGTCACCCGATGGGTGAGTGTAGTTACGATTCAAGAATGTTCGGAGTCTGAAGGTATAACACAGGTACTCATTATTTGTTTATTTCAACAATCCAGAGACCAATCCATCATGTAAAAAACACAAGTTAAGTTAGGTAATAAAACTAAAGCACCTAAACAGTAATATGTTTATTGGAGTTACATTTTAAAGATATTTTACAATAAAACACCGGTTGATCCCATATTTTGGCACAGACACTTAATAATACAATGTAATTGTTACTTATTTATTATTTACACAGAGTTTTAATAGGAGGCACAAAAACACCAAATGACACATTATTCATTATTTCAACCCTAGATTATTGGTAGTGTTGCAATGAAGACAATATAGTTTAAATAATTTTATTTAGCTGCCTTTATGTTATCATACCTGGGGACCAAGCCATGGTTCGGTATAGTTTATTTCCATTGTACCCCTACATCGAGTAATCTTCAGTGTAATCTTTAATCAATAGTAACAATTGATGTTTTTTCTTTTGAACTGTATTTTGCAATTTGCTAGAACACTGTGGATAGCTTGTTATAAACACATGTTACAGTTACAAGTCTTTTGTTGACTTTTTTCCTTGTTATTTTGTTCAACCAACATGTTTACTTGGCAGCCCATAAGGACAATTTAAAAAATATCGACTTTCGGTTCAATTTTTTTACTTAATTAGATTTTTGTTGACAGTTTTAGCTGCAGTAAACACGTTTTTAGGCCAGATTTAAATTACTTACAACATTTGAAGGAAATCGTCAAAGCCGTTTTTGAGATATTTTTGCAAGCATTCACAAGCATATATACAAGCAAACATCGCTCATATAAGAGTTGTAGGATTACAAATTTTCCTGCCATTTTGTTTGTGTGAATTTAATTCTTCCAAGCAATTTGTTTGACAAAGCCTTAAGGTCTGGAAATCATGTAACACTTTTGAACTCTCAGGGAAACAATTACCCTGTGTGAAACATATAGTCTGTATGATGGAACCTGTCTCCTGAACCTAAGTCCACCTCGGGACTGACCAATGGTTTAATAGCTGAGTCAGCCTTGGGTAGGCAAAGGGTCAAGAGACAGGTTATTTCATACAGACTATACATACTAATAGTGTCTCTAATTGGTGGTGATGACTTTAGTTGCTCTAACTTTGGTTCAACATGGTTTTAGCGAATTTCCCATATAGGGAATAAGGGAATTATATACCCCCGCCGCAGCTAACCTGCAGACTAAGCGAATTTCCATTTGCCTGATTGAATTTACACTAAAATGTCTACTATAACATTTATTCCCTATTTCAATAGAATTAGTTTTTTAACAAGTACTTAGGTTTGCTGCATCAGGGAGGGTAAAAACAGTTTTTTTTTGTAAAATTTTAATAGTTAATTAGTTTAATAGTTTTAGTTTTTTTAGTTATGTTAATAGTAAGAAATAAAAACATTTTCCAAATTTGATCAAAATATGTTTATAAACAAGCAAACTAAAACAGTTTACTTATTCTCCATAAGAATAACATGGGAATTTTAAATATACAATTTTTTTGAATTTTCTCCGTAACCATTAGGCGCATAATAACGCTTCAATATACTAAATTATTTGTTTTTTTAAGCTCTACAAAATGGTTTGGAAAGAAATTGCTATATTTGATGTTTTTTGGGTCAAAAACGGGAAAAACCTATTTTTACCCCATAAAACCCCCCTTAAACCCCCGTTCCCATAGTCCGATCATGCTGGTTCGCGAACTCGTTCGAATAAATGTAGGTTTACACGTTTATACCAAATTTCATCTAAATCGGATCATTTTTGCTCGAGTTATCGTGCTAACGGACACATATATATATAAATATATATATATATAAATATATATATATATATATATGAATTTGAACGGATGGTGTTTTTGGCCTCTAGGGACCTCAAAACAAAACAAAAAATCGGTCCCGCGTCCAGGTCTTACCATGAGTACTACGGTAATTTCATACATGTGAGTAATTAATCGTCAAGACTGTATGTAATTAAATGTTTAAAAACTTTAGCGTAGCCCCGCAATTTTATAGTACATGTTTTTTTCGGGAGCCTTACCATAGACAAATAGAATATAGTCTGACAGCAGTCGTGCGGTTAGCATATGTTCCGGCGTTCACTGCTAGGAGTGCCATGTAGTAACGGTGCACAGCGCTGCAGCGTCTGCTGGTAGCATACGGCTCTTCACCTGCAGTAGTGTGCGTCTACACGGCAATCATAGTGAACATCGTGGAACCTTCCTTTGACAGTCCAAATTCATTATATTTCTCTATGGCCTTACCAATAAATCTAGGTTTGAATTTCTTCTTAATAAACTAATACAAAGAGATAAGCAAACTGTCTTAAAAATAATCCTTGTTATATATGTACAAGGGGTTACATTTTAAGGAAGTAGCATAAATTACTTATGATAGTGCAACTTAAAATATAAGTTTTCAAAAGTTCAAATTTAAAGTTAAAGCTCAAAACCCTATTTTGTTACAACAGTACCAACAGTAGAAAACGATTCCAAGCACTCTTAGCCCTTAAACGTTTTAAACTAATTGATAAAACTGCCTAGTTATCCTACTGCTTCCTTCAAATCAATTTTCCAGTGCAAAATAAGGATTTGAAAAGTAACAAACATGTATTTAGAGGTGCAACTCAATAACAACACACAAACAATGAATAAACGATGGGTTAATCACAGTGCCATCATAAATCCGTTGAAACTAGCGGCTGTAGCGTCATTTCTTTGACTACTTTTAGTCCTTTTAGTCTTTGAAGATTTTAGTGAGATGATTGATGAAAGGATACACGGACAAAACTTACTTAAAAACTCTTTGATTTAAAATGGGTCTAAAACTTTTTATAAAAGTATATAACAAGAAAATAAGCTAAACAAAACAAAAGAAACTTTACTGGACTAACATACCCCTTATAACGTCCAACTAAAAAACTAATGTCATTTTGAGAGGCGTAAGCATTCACATGTATCAAAAGTGAATCAGATTATAAGAAAAAACTAGAACGGGAAGTAGCACAGCCTAGTATCACATATTACAAATACCATACATTGAATGAATAATAAGTTAAAATAGCCTATCTAGACAAAATTTTTCTCAGTAGCAGCCAGACAGAAGCTTTGTTATTTACAAATAACTACACACACCACTTAGCAATTTAAATACAACTCTGAAGATATATAGACAAAAATATTTTTTTACCGTTCTCCAATAGTTATTGAGCTACAGTAACAGTGTTAAAGTTTCTTATTGAATAAAAAGAGGTGCTTTAAAAATATATGAATGAGTCTTATGTTTTGAGTTTTCTTTCTACAAAACTCTGATTTTGTACTTTTATGGTGGGATATAAGTTAGTAGGATACGATTTAAAGTGGTGATTTCAAATTTCTACTATTTGAAAAATAAACCTGCATACTCACTTTGTTAAAAAAAAAATTGTTACTATGCATCTACATTTTACCGCTTCGTACAGATCAAGAGATTATTCAATTTTTTTCTCAGGGCTGCACCATTTCTAGGTTATTGTAACATACTTTCTAATTGTAAAAATAAGTTTCACTGACAACTGTGTCACAAGGCTAGACTTTAAATCACATGATACTCGTAACAAATGCTAAATCACTTTAAGTTAAGTAGTGGACTTAAATTAGGTACAATTGCTATTAGAAGCCTTAAACCTCAAAAGGTTAAACTCACAAGTTTGAAAATTAACCCACTTTAAACAATGCATAAATGATCCAATAAAATTGTTTTTTTCTTTTTTCTGACCCCTAAATGTTTTTCTAAGAAGTGGGCTATTAAAAGCTTGCTAAAAGCAGTTGAAGTTCACTAGGATTAATATGAAATTGTCAACAAGTTATCAATACATTCTCCCCTTATCTTCCCCTTCGGCTACAACTACACTTAGCGACCTGACCTTTGAAACCAGGTCGCCGCAGCTTTTTTTTATTCACAGCCTGTTTGCAAGGGATGCCAAGTTTTGGAATCAAAACTTGGTGTCCCTTTTTGGCCCAAGATAGGCCTACTAAATACTTGTAGAGTTACATTTAATACAAGTGTCTATTTTTAATAAAAATGTGTATTAAACAGCATAGTTTCCAACTGTGCACTACTGTCAAACCTAAACTGAACAATATAGACGGTAAAACAGTGTAGGAACGATTTGACACTGAGTGTGGCTAGTGCCGTAATACATGGTGGAGCCTATCTGTTGCGGCGACCTGAAAACGTTCCCGAAAGCGTTAGTTTGGCTGTGGCAAGCGGTTGCAGGTCACAGGTAACTTGATGTGGCCGGGTTTATTTCAATGAATGTTACCCACGTTTTTATGTCTCAAGGTTGCCAAGTGTGGTTGTAGCTTTAGCCCTCAGATGTTTCCAAATTGCAACAATTTTGACTTCCCAGTTTTCTCCAATTTTTACATAAACATACATGAATGTTTGTTTTGGGTAAAATATTTTCTTCTAAAAGAAAAAGTAGAACACTGTAAGCAAGACTTAACATAGTGTCTACCAACAAAATACTACTATGCACTTCAAGGTTACTGAAATGCAACATTACGTGATGTCACGTTGTTTTACCATGAAAATTCTATGGTAAAAATTACTAAGTAAAATATGAATATGAATACTGTACCGGTAAACATTCCACTAGTGATAAATTAAACAAAAAACCACAACCTAAGAATATTTTTATCAAACAAGAACTTAAAAATTAGAGACAATAATTCTCTAGTAAAATAAAACAGGTAAAGGAAAAAAGCTGCTTACGATCAGTCATTTGTATGAAATCTCAAGTGCTAAAAAGGTAAATCTTTGGTTTGTTGTTTAGGTCTACTAACACATCAGGGCAGTATTTTCTTCATGAGTAGCTCACTTATTCAAACATTCTTCAAAATACAATGAGGTTGTTTAAAGTCTGTACCTTAAAATATGTCTTGACAGTCTACAACTCTTAAACTTCTTGTCTAATGAGTCTTAAACAGTCTGGGTCTTCGGCAGTGGCGTCTGTATGAGAAGAATCCGTATATGATGATGAGAGGAACTCCAAACAGGTACAACTTGATGACTGTAGTTTCTCTGGGCATGTGACACTTGCTGATCGCGTAGTTGTTGGGTGAAAACACAGCCTAACGAGAATAAAAAAGTGGTTAGTACGAAAAATACCTGATATTAGTTCTTTAGTATGGAAATTCTTCTGGTCTATGATCTATTGGCTCAGGTACTATCCATTTCCTAAAAGGTTTATTGTCTTAATGAGTATATTCATTCATGAACTAACCTCAGGAAGTTTTCATTCGGAAGACACTCGGTAAAGAAGATGATTTGGATGGAAATATTTTTTGTCCTAGGACGCTGGACACAAGCCCGGGATTGTTTTTCACATTATTTCAGGCTAGATCTAGGAGTTGTGGCATTACCACTTAGATAAAATCCATTGGTGATTTGGCGGGATTTGTACCCAGGACCTCGGGGACTGAAGTCCCACGCCCTAACCACTAGACCAGCTCGCTCCCCAGATGGAAGGAATAGAATCAGCTAAATAAGCCATGGTGGAATCACGCATATGGTACGGGGGCTGATTTGATGGGCTGGCACATCTGACAACCTAAATAAAATCCTGTTGGCTCAGAAGAAGGCTATTAGGGTACTTTCTGGCAATGGCCCCACAGAAAGTTGTAGAGGAGCTCTCAAATCCCTCAAGATGTTAACTGTGATAGTTAATTACTGTTGAATTTTTCCTCTGTTATATTCAACTGTTGAATTTTATTCTTACGTACAAGCATAGTCTATTTTTTTCCAACTTTTTTCCTACATATGAAAAACCTATCAATAAAAAACCGAAAAAGGAACTTTGGAACTAGCTCGCAAATCAACCAGTGTACTCAAGGATTTTTAACCTAAGAAGAAGATAATGGAAAACCAAAGAAACCATATAATTATAAAAAAACAAGAAAAACTATCTATTCCGCCTGTTTTGACTCTGATGTATTTCTCAATGAAATTAAAAATAAATATTATTGTCAATTGTCAGTAATGATCAAATAACAGGTATTGGTAGAATAATAATACTACCTTTCATGGGTCTTGAACTTCTTAATTGTCAGAATATTTAAAGAAAAGCAAAGCGGCTATTTAGTAGAGGTCTGCGGTACAGAAAATTTAAGGTATTCATTTCACTATTCATTATTTGTACCTCGGTTCTCGGTACAAAATCGGTTCGGTACGCAGTTACCAATCCAATGCAAACTGCTAGTTGAATCAAAAGGTTATCTCAATGAAAAGTAAACAAACTAAAACAAAAACAAATCTAACAGACGGTGTATCTTCAATATTTTAAATGTGATTAAATACAGCCCTTTAATTGAGGTTCCTACCCTCAAGAGAAAGTTTAGGAGAGCTAAAATTTGATTTTATCAAGTAAGTTTGAAATTTCATATAAACATTTTTCGTTCAAGTATGTGGGTGATAGGTGTGCGGCTTATGGTTTTCTCAAAAGTTCAGATCCTTCTTAGCTTTATATTTCAGAGTCTATTTCAACTTTGAGTTGTTAGTTTTTACCAAGATGAAGCTAGGGTTGTCCTTGTTCCGCCAGCTGAAGGAAGGTATCGTGTACTCGTGAGCCTTGTTGTCTCTGTGTTCTACGTGACATCCGTGGTGGGTGTGACCCGTCATGATCACCCGTGGGTTCAGACTGTCCAATAACTGTAACAAATACAAATTAAAGCGTTTAGCTTGTAAATTCAGCTTTATATCAATATGGCCTCAATATATTTCCTAGACCTGTTAGAGTGGTATTTATCTATTAGGCTACTTATATTTTGTTTGCGTAGGCTTATTGAGTTAGAACTACAAAAATTATCAAACAATGAATTACAGTTGATTGATTGATTGACTTGGGGCCTACCTGTCCCTATGCACGTCAGCCAATTGTTGGCTTTTTGAACTACATTAAAACCAATTTTAACCGCACCTCTAACCAGAAGGCAACGGGAACCGTCCATTGTTGTACAGGTATGGGTCTAGGAATGACTGATTCTTCGTCGTGGCAACCGTCATGAATATAAAGTTCAGAAAAGCGATTGTCGATTATTTTGAGAAATTTATTCTGTATGTGTTTATACAAATGTATATTTCGAGATGACAGTACCTAATTGAAATAACGCAAAAAGACTGTAAATCATTTTGAACTGAAATATATAACTTAGGCCCCTATCAATGATTAATTAAAAAAGGGTATCCGAAAGCCTTGTTGTCTCAATTTCAAATAATCAGAGATCAATTAACCGTCAAAATAAAAAAAGTTGGACTGTTACTTGTGTCTTACAAATTAGGACCCCCATGACCTGATACTCTGGATTTCTTTATGAAGTTGTAAAGAATTTGTTCCTAAGTTTCAGCAAAACCAGACAGATCCTGACACGTTGAGTCAAATATACCTGGAGAGCTAGCTTAAATATAACCTAGCTAAGCTATAGTTCGGCCGCTTAGAAAACGACCTGCGCGCTAATGCAAAACCAATGCTGGAGGAGGTTGCTTTCTAAGCGGCCGAACTATAGTCAGTCTTTCTGATATAGCCTTAAAGTTTTTTCAATAGTGAGTTCCTATATTTAAGTTAAATTTGTGTATTTTAATGTTGTGACACTAAAAATTTAGCGCATAAGAGAAGTTAAAGGAAAATGTCTCTGTTAAAATGCCAAGATTATGTCTCTGTTTTAATTTTTGGCCCTTTTCCCCAGGTATCAAGGCATTTTGTAAAACTCTCAACGTTGCATTGAGTTGCTGGAACTTAGCTGTTTTATTATTACAGATATACATAGTAATGCTTGTGTGAATCCTATTTCAGTAACATAATATGACAGATATCAACATTACAGAAGACTGACCATTTCAGAACTCTCTTGTGACAAGCAGTCCCATCGTTCCTTGAACTTGTTTGCCTTTTCGTCTTCCGGAGCTTCGTCTGGCTCGTTGCACTCAGCGTCTGACTCTCGGTACATTGGAAAATGCTGAAATAAGTTTGACAATTATTTAACATAAGCTAAAAACTTATGCATAGCAGCAGCAGCCTATGGTTCTGAAATTGGAACTACAGCTTACAACCTGCTATTTAAATATCACTTTCAAAACCAATTGGTTCAATGCCATCTTAGATAAAAATTTCAATTGGTTACAAACAATTCAATAATATTTTGGATTTCCCTTCTTCTAGGGCGCCCTTTGAATTTTTTTACAGATAAAACTTCATGTTAAATTATTCAGTCACTATTTTAAAGACACAAACATCTTTGAGGTGGTTTAATAATGGTCGTATAACCCCTTTTATTAAGTTAGTAAATCTCTACAATAAAACTTCACTAGCGTGTGTAAATATATAAATCACTTTACCTGTAAAAGAATCGGTCTGCTGTATTGTTTGAGTCCCATTCCTTTCCGACATTTTCCCACACCTTTGGCACACAGCAACCTTGCTGAAATCATAAAAATTGTGATATCAAAATTAAGAAAACATATACAACATTTTTTAACGTTTCACACGATGTGTTTCTTGACTATTCGTACACATCCTTTTTTTCTTTAGCAGTTTATAATGAAAACTCTTAGTATACAGGGTCAAAACGAACCAGAAAAAGGAGGGTAGGCGGACTCTTAAATTGTGTCATCCCTCTTTTATAGCCCCTTAGGTTATAAGGAACTCTTATTAATAAAACAATAATGATGTCCCCACGAATGCAGATGTTCCCGATTTTGCTGTGATCACTGGAGACATTCATGATTTCATCAAGATCGCAGGAGATAATGTTAAGTATTTTATAAACCAATTAAAATAAATTATATTATTCATTGTCATTGGCCACTAGGGTTGTTTTCTGATCCGTCGCGTCGCCGGTGTAGCACTACCAAAAACAAACATGTTTGTATCTTGAAGTGCGACTGACACGAGCGGCACCGCTTTTGCTGTTTAGCTGGGACACTCCCAATACTTAACATGTGTTTGTATCTGTCGCTGTTGTCGGTCGAATTGGTCACGCCGCTCTTGTCGTCCAGCTAGGATGGAGCCTTAGGTTTCGGCTTTTGTTAAGTCATATTCATAAGGGATTAAAACTTATCCAGGAGACATACTGTATGAAATACATCCAGGTGTGTTCCCATCTCAATTAGTAATATCATGATAGTGATCTTACATGCAATCTTGTTAACTTGCAGTTCTGCAGGGCGACAGAGAAAACAGCCATCCCCCTCCATGGCCATGCTGTTGATCAGTACAAAGTGGTTTCCAGCGACTGTTAGCAGCCTTACAGAAGGCGCATTGAAAGCTTGGGCAAACCTCTCCTGAAGATACGGACTGATCCTGTAACCAAATTTAAATTAAACACTTTTTTAGTACAACACTTTTCAAGGCTAGTTGGGCACGAGAGCTCTGGCATTGAGCTCTCACACTGACTTCTACTGAGTTCCTAAAGTTGCTCTGTACGCCACCACTGTTGCTTCTAGCATGGTGATTCAAGGCTTATTCAGCTAAGGAAGGTTTTTTGTAAAGGTACAAGCTACAAATGCACAGGTCGAGGGAAATAGGAAATATTAACTTAAAAACTTTTGTAAATTGTTGTTACCCTCAGAAATTTACCTATATTCAATGAAAATTGAGTCTAAGAATTTTTTTTTTAGGGATTAATGTTCTACTCTGTTTACAAAATTTAGGTGGTTTTAGGGAAAGAATTAGAAATCTAATCTATCTCCTACATTTGATCTTACCATTAAAACAATGACTCAACAGCTGATGTTTGCCAAAACGTCGATCAGCTGCATCATATATTAAGGTACATTTATGCTTGGAGCGACAGGTGAGACTGTTGCTCAGCGACGGTTCTGAGCGGCAGTCGTGGGGCAGTAGACTGTTTTGCTTGGAGCTACAACTGCTTCCTGCCGCCACCAAGAGGTGGTACCGTCAGTGCACCTAACCTTAAAAGGTGTGCAGCCTAACCGGTATGTGCACCCAAAAGAAGATGGTAAAATATCTCCTCTCTGAGGAGTCAGATAATGAATCATTGTTGGATCAATTAACAGTCCCAAGAAAAGGGAAACACGCTATGTTTCGTTTATTCTTTGGTCTTGGAAAGAAATATTCTTTAAATCATAAACGACAGGATGTTTTGCCACTTATTCTATTACTTAGTCGTCTTCATATGCACTAAAACTTAACTTCACCATGTCTGTGAATATTTATCTATAAGTTTAGGTTGTTTCTCATTTTAATGAAAGGTTTTCTCTCCTTATTTATTTACATGTTTATCTTCTTCTTTTCATAATTATTAGTTGAAATTTACAAAACACAACTTTTGAAATTTTGGATGGAATTACAATTATTTTCTTAAACTTAACTTATGAGATATAACTGCAAATTTTTAACTCTATGGTTCTGGTCTGATGTTTATACTAACTAACATTTAACAAAATTACAACTTTCAAGCACCTTAAGTCCCACATTATTTACCAAAGCCATTTTAACAATCAAACGTTTTATTTTACAACTAGGTAACTTCACTAATACAGAGATAAATTTTGAAAATAGATAATTTTTTATCAAACACCTTGAGTAGTCCTTTCTGCATCGTGTATATATATGTTTTTCTCATTTATAATTCTGTATTTACCCATAGTGGAAGCCAATGTCATGGTTGCCGACGACCACATGAATCTGTGTCTCAGCCGGTACATGGAAGAGACTGTGGAAGCGCTGCACGTAAGAGTTAAACTCTGCGTCACTACACCACAGACCCTCATCAAACACATCCCCTATAAACAAATTTAAAGTAATATAAAAATATACAGGCAACCTTAACACTTTTTAATATTTCTTATTTGATACTGTAAACAAATACAGATCAGAGACAAAAAAGAGCTTGGGAACTATTGGTTCCAAAAAGGTTCGGGAGCAATACCGGGACTCGTTCCAGGGGAATCGAAATTGAAGGTTTCACTCATTGTTGTAGATTTCCCCTGAACTGTTAAGACAAATATATTATAGTGGTTTTTGAGCGTTTTTTTTTTTGTCCCAGTTCAAAAATATTTGTATCTACAACCAAGTTTTTGACGCTAGATGCGTCATGATCGAAAAGACAAATAGTTCTCGTGGACGGAATACAAACCTGTTATAATCTGTGCTTATTAATCGTAGCGTCATAATATCGGGCTGGAGTCGCTCGAATAGTTGTTTCTAAGCTATAGCACCTTTTTTTGTCCCAATCAAATACTAGCCTATATGAAAACCTAAAATAGAAACTACAACTTCCAGTGTTTTATATTTCTTGTTAACGCCAGTGGCATTAACAGTAGAGTCAACGTACTGGGAGCGAGCTGCGGGACTTCAGTCCCTGAGGTCCCGGGTTCGATCCCCGCAAAGTCACCAATGGATTTTATCCAAGTGATAATGCCGCAACCCCTAGGTCTAGCCTGAAGTAATGTGAAAACAATCCCAGGCTCAAGCCTAGTGTCCTAGAAAAAAAAAATGTACTGCGTACTTCAAATAACCCTTTAAGAGAAAGCGGTCCAAACTCATTATGTGCTGTGGTCCGTGGATGTGCCGGAAATCAAACCTGTCAATTCGGCACCGAAGCTCAAGACGCTAACCACTAGGCTAGCACCCAATCATTTCTACTTTATTATCCATAGCTAGTAGTTATTAGCTACGGAAAACCATTTTGCCTTAATTGGTAATTGGTTAATACGAGTAAAACTTACCCAGTATAAACACAATATCAGGTTTGTGCAAAGTGACTGCAGTTTGGAAAGCTCTATGCATCTGCCATTCCCTGTGGATGAAGAAAGTCAGGATTAAGTAAATGCCTTCATTAAAAGTTAAGTTATATCCTATTATGTATTTCCAAATTTTTTTTTTAAATAAATATTATCTTCATATATAAGTTATTGTATCTAATGACTTACTTTTACCATAGGAGTGTAGGTAGGTAATGTTTTGTTGTTGTAATGTTATGTTTGGTAGACCAGTCATGCTAACCTGCAAGTCTGGCTGATCCAAACCATCCATTTGGTAAATGGGTAGGCCTACTGTATTGTATTTAAATTGAAAATAAAGCTTTGTGTTCTTAAATGTACCATTCACGGTGTCCAGTAAGCCTACATCAGAAACCGGCATTAAAGGTGAAATTTTATGACTGGAAAGAGTCCGTGAATTGCACATAATTTTGTATTGGGTCAGGAAATGTGGATTAATACTTAATAGCCTATGGCGAGCATCCATTTATTAACAGCCTTATGCACAATTTAAATCCCCTATGCTAACACTGCAGGCTTTCAGTGAAAACAATTCCAAGCTGCCGGGAGCGAGCCGCCATGATAAATGCCGAGGGGGCAAAGGCCTTTTGTCCAGTAGGCCTACAGCTGGCCGTCCGACTGTCGGAACCGAGTAAGTACAGATAGAATTCTGACTGGCTGCCAACTGTTTAGGCCACTCCTGCTGGCCTTCCGATTGCAAAGAGTTAACCATCCATCAGAAAAGTAAATGTCGCTGAGCTACTGTCGCTCCTGACTGGTCGTGGAGCAGTACCTCGTGACTACAGCTCGCAGCTCTAGCGATAGTAGCTCCAAGCAAAACAGGACTATGCAAAACCCACAAGAGCAGTGTCCCACCAACGCTTGCCAATGATATGGAATAGCTGGGTCCAGTTTCAAACCAAAAAGCTACGGTACTGACTTTTATCAGGATCGAACCAACAACCTTTTGATTGTGAGGCAACCACTATAACCATAAAAATGCATCTTAAAAATCCAATAATGATTCCGGATCCCACCTCACAAATTCTTGCTTTATGTCTATAATCTTACCTCCTCAATTTATCAAACCAGTGGCCTTTTTTAGATCCAAGAAGATGAGTGTCAGCTACAAGCATCACTTTGACTTCACCGCCATCCCCTATGACAATGTTTGGCTCTTCATAGCTTGTCTGAAGAACAGGCCATCCACACTAAAAGAAAAAAAAGGTTATTAAAGTCGAGCTCATTTTACACCATTCCTCACGTAAGATACTAAGCAATGCAGAACATTAGAGCTAACAATTATCTAAAATGAATAGCTTAGGTTATCAATTTCAAAAAGGTGTTGAAACCCAATGACATTCTGGACATCAACAACCTTACTTGCACTATTTAAATTGGACGGGAAGAATAGTGTTTAAGTTACTATCCCTACCTGGATTAGTACGACATAGTATATAACGTACTCCCCAAAAAGTAGCAGTAATAATACAGGTAGTAAAAGTTTAAAAATAAATTTTGGTTTGGTAACCATTATGCAATTTGTTTATGGTTAGGCCTATTATGTTAAATAGTGACAACTATTTACAAGTTTCCATTTCACTTTGACGCAAAGGTTTGTATTAAGTCTGATTTTCATAACTGTTATTCTTCACAAATCAGTTTGAAAGAAATTATTTTGCTGTTGGAAAACATACACACAAAAATGTCTCTTCTTGAGTTCGTTTACACCAGCGGTTCACACAACATCATAACATAAAACATAACCTACAAACAAACAAACAAACTCTACTGGTAGAGTTTGAGTTCAGACTAGAGTTGTCTGCTGTGCTGTCTCGTGCTTCGCTCCAATCTAACCAATCAGTTGATTCGTTGCTGCTACTCCAATCCAATGCCAGCCAATCTCCATTAGCACTCGATCTTGGATGGTTCTAGTTCAGTACTGTACGAACCAGCTGCTGTCTGCTGTCATCTTAAATTCAAATTCTCCTTTTTGGTTTTGTTTTTGCTTGTTTGATAAATTTTATAAAGCACTGAGCTTGTAGGTAGATGTTGATTTAGTTTTTTAGAGTTTGAATCATATCAGGATTTTTAGTTATATATTTATGACCTTTGGTGACATAATAAATGACTGTAAACTACGTAACTTAATTTGTTTTTATATTTCGAATTGGCTATGGCTATCAAAGAGGTTAAACATTTGGAGAGGTTAGGTTGATTGTTGTGTCTAGGATTGATAGATAATGTTGAAATTCACTGCATGGTTATTTTGAGAAAGAATACTGTTTGTATATTACAATTTCTGTGAAACCAAATATAGGCACTCGAACTAAGTTAAATGCTTTATAACTTGACTTAAGCTTCAATCACTAGGCCTAGTTTAAATCTTGAAATTATGGCTGATTTTGATGTTATTAGTCTATCAAGCGACACCTCAAGACCCTCCTCCCCATTCATTAACGTGTCCGAAGTATTTAATGACAGTGAAAATATTAACAATCCTCCTTGTACAAATGTTGACAAAAATCAAATTGATTCTAGCCCACTTAAGAATATAAGCCCATTTAAGCGAATTCTTCATGATCTCTCTGAAAGTGATCATTCAGATACTGAGTCAAACCAAAACATCAAATCAGTTGAATTAAGCCGCGACGAGCTTGATCGTCTTTTGTTAAAATACAGTAAAAACAACAAATGTAGGCCTAATACTGAAACACTGGACTCAGAATCAGAACTTTTCAAACCTGCTTTTGAAAAATTACAAGTAAACGATCAGGTAAGTAAGCATTTAGCAATATAACTTAAATTTTAGCAACTAACATAGTTACAAATAAGCTTTTTCAATCGTACTGCTAAACTAAATGAATCAATTTGCAGCCAGCCCCCTTAAAATTCAGGCTGAATCACACAGAATGTAAAGCACACCATAAAAACTCACACTTTCGATTTATTAATTCTCTTAACGATTATGGCAGGTTAAATTTGTTTAAACTCTTCTAGTAAACAGGAGGTAGCCAGTTTGATCCTGAGTAAAGCTTGTTGATGTTCATCATCATTGGGCTTTTAACATATTTGCTGCAGCTCAGCTGCACATTAAATAGGAGAGTCGTGGGAACCCCTAACATTAATTTTTACTGGACTACATCTTTAAAAATTCTGTTCTCAAAAAGTACTGCAAGACATTGTTTAGGTGTATATTTCTAGTTATAGCCTAATGCTCAACAGAAAAACTGCCATATGCATATGAAGGAAAATCTTTTAAAGACTTTGCTAACCTCTTCCTTTCTCCATCACAATCCAATCATAAAAAAGTCTACTAAGGGTTTGTGTGGCTATACAGTGGAACCACGATAACAAGACCATCGATAACAAGTCACCCTTAATAATAAATGTAATTTTCAAATCCTCTATTTATAACTGATTTCACACCTAATCACATGTTATATTGCAAACCTCGATAAGAAGTCAACTTTGATAACAAGTCTTATTTAGTAGTAATCCTCACGAGAGTCTTGTTATTGAGGTTCTACTAGAGAACAATGCACTATCAAAGGTATAAAATCAAACCAAATCAACAAATTTCCCAAATATACAAATGGCTTTTCGGGTCCTAAATCAAACCATGTGCTGTCCAACACAGACCACCAATAAGACCTCTGCAGCAAGTCTGTTGATAAATGCTTTGTCTGCAAAAGAACCTTAGAATCTTAGTCGGTAACAAGACAAAACATAAACTCTGACTTTGAGTGGTATCACCGTTCACTAGTCTTCGCCCAAAATCAAACCCAGCCTACAAATTATGTGTAGCACAGTATAATCTAATCTAGTAATTTAAGTTTTAGAATATGACTTGACAATTATGATATTTACCTTAGCTGGATGGAGAAAGAAATGCTGGACTAAAACCAAAGAAGACCAACGGTAAACGGTTGGAAGACAAAGAGCAAAAACAAAGAGAAAAAGAACAAAAGAGAGCTGAAAAACTTGCCGCAAAGGAGTTACAAAACTATACCAAGCCAGGGAATTGTTTAAAAGTAAGTAGGCCTAATATTGCTAAAACAGTACAGTAACTTAAAAATTATCCATCCACCATCGATTATATAATTCTGGTACTGAACAAGAAAGTACAAGCGTAACTTAGGTAATTTTTTTCTACATTAAGTTCAAAAAAGCCCTTCTGCGTTAAAATAAAAAAAATATAGCAAAATCACATTACGACCAAAAAGATGCATTTTGGTCAGCCCCACTGAGCGATTGACTTTGAATTCTTGAGGAGCCATAGTTTATTTATGTTTGATTGCAACAGCTACAGGTAATCAGAAATATTACAGTAAGAGATAGATCACAATTCACAATAATTTGTGTAGGTACCAAGAGACGTAGGCTACACTGAAAAGCTGGCTTGGGCCTATCTGTGATGTCATATTTTAACTTAAACGAGTAATGTCCAGTGGTTGAAACTCGACCAAAAATATGTAATGTACGGTACTCACTTATGTTAATGTTTCACCCCATACTGTAAATAAAACATGTGATTGGAGTTTCTTCCATTTGTTTTGATTTTCTGTTTATATTTCGTTGTTATTTCGTCACCAGCATGGCAACGCATAAGATCCATGTAAATTTTTTCAAATTTTTAAACTCATTTTTTGCGCTTATCTTTGAGCCTATTTAAATTTATAAAGGGATTCTGCACACCTACAGGAAAATAGCTTTCTAACGGTATGCGTAGATTTTCCCTACGATACACACGAGCTGAGAAAAAAGGTTTTAAAGAAACATGCTTGCCTATTAATATATAGATAGGGCTTAATTTTATGTTGTTTGTTGTTGTTCCGGATCGGTATGACATACAATAAAAGGTTAAATTACCTGTGTCCGCCAGTCGATCCTTATGTGCTGTGTCCTATTACAGGATATGCATTTTGGCAGAATAAATTGCCATCATCAGTCCTAATATAAGATCTTGATCTTCCCCATTTGGTGCGTCTTGAAGTATTGAAACATGTACACGAACTTTACACTTATATACATTACGAATAAAACAAACAAATACACGGTAGACCTACTTTTATTTTAGTTACTACGGACATGTAGACGCGCGTCGGTCGTGTGTCGAGTCTCGACTCACGACCGACGCGCATCTACATGTCCGTAGTAACTAAAATAAAAGTAGGTCTACCGTGTATTTGTTTGTTTTATTCGTAATGTATATAAGTGTAAAGTTCGTGTACGTGTTTCAATACTTCAAGACGCCAGGGCCGCGTTAAGGGTCAGTGGCGCCCTGGGCAAACCCAAAAGCATAGCGCCCCCTTATATATATATGAGCGAAGGGGGTTGACTCATCGGTTCGCCGAAATTCACTGCAGGTGGATTGGGCGTTGGGGTGAGTGCAATGAATGCCTCTTGCCCTGCGCCAATAGCTTAATGCACTACGCAGTGATTTGATTACTGTTCAGTACAGTAGGCCTACAGTGTGCAGTTCATTGTATTACACATGTATTGAACGAGATTCCACTAAGGAGTATGTTTTTTCCATGGTTCTACTATAGGCTTATGCATATATATATTTATACATTAGCGTGTTTTTTTTACCAGTTTTGTTTCGGGAGGGAGTTTTCAATTCCGTATCAATGGTAATACTGGTTAATACATGTCATTTTCTTTAAAACTGCTTCCTGAGTTTGTTTTCTTTGAGCCAACCGAATGCGGCTCTCGGCTGCACTAGGTTTTTTATGCATTTTTCACTGTTTATAGGCCTACTTACTTGTATCGACACTACTCTATTTATTACTGGTTCACTAACTGCAGTGTTAGTGTCAACACTGACTAGTGACTGACACAGTTTAGGTTGTGTTGTGACTGATTTGAGTACTGTGCAGCAGGCACAACACGAACACAACCTACTGACTACTGAGGGAGGAGTACAGTACTGAACTGGACTACTGTAGTACTGGACTGCACTGGACTGACTGGCTAGTGACTGGAGCCACACGGTAGTTGCAATGAATACACAAACTATATGGTAGTTGTGACTTGTGGGGATGGGGGTGGGACTGTGAGGGAGAGGAGGTGCACGTCAACCGTAGGCCTCTAGACTACAGCTGGCCTACATGCTATTCCCGTAATTTTCTGACATCACCCAAATTGCAAACAAAATCAGCTGATGTAGGCCTATTGTCATACAAGTATATATTTGTTTTGATTTGATTGTTATTGTTTTACAATTTTTCTAAATGGTCAAATGGTGTTTGCAATCTGAGTGACGTCAGCATATGATGGGAATAGCACACCTATGTATTTTCCTTCCACCATGCAGGCCTCCCATGGGCCTCCCTGCCTCTGATAGTATAGTAAGTGCGCCCGGTTCACACTGCTGCCTGCCTTTCCCTGATTACACGAGGTATAACCTGAAGGTCAAGTATTTTCAATTTTGTTGTATTTATTTACTTTAGCAATAAGGAAAAATCACTTAACTAGAAGTTGAAATCACCCATCTTATTTTTTAAATCCCGG